CAACAGTCCAGACGAGTGACAGCAGCCGTGGGCACGGTACGTAGACAGACACTAGACAAATTCTAAAATTAGACCAGCAGGATTTCCAGAGTGGAGTTTGGGCTGAGGGAAGGAGCCACTATGGTCCTGAGGTGTTGATCCTGAGCAGCTGAAGTGAGCAGGTCGTCTCCGCCCAGGATGGAGGAGCTGCGAGTGAAGGCGGTGGTGGAGGAAGAGAGGAGCTGGCTTTGGATGGATTCAGTGAGACAGATGGAGATGTGGGAACGGTGGGTGGTACCAGCGTCTGTGGGCTCGGGGACTGGCCGAGCTTTTGGTGATTGTCCCATTTTGCAGGTGAGGAAAATGAGGGCCCTGCAGAACCTTAAAAGGAGCAGCCAGGACTCGACTTTGGCCTCTGGCTCCACAGCCACGCTCTTCTCACAGCCACGGGCACCAGGCTGCTGGCCACTCCGCCCAGCGGTTCCCTGGCTAGCTTCCCTGTCTTCAGGGCTGAGCCAGGAAGGAGCCTCTGCTTGGAACACAAGTGGCACAAGTGCCAAGTGGCCCGAGGCGCCAGCGGCCCCAGGAGTGCAGCTGGCCTGGCCCGAGGCTGCCATCCACGCAGCAGAGAGCATTCGGTTAGCATTGATTGCTCAGAGAAGAGCATCTGGCCAGGCTCGGGGCAGGGGAGGGAGCGCTGAAGGCCGGAGAGACTGTCTACACAGCAGAGCAGCCTGCACGCTTCAGAGAGACCCACTGACCCACCCAGGGGGCCATGAGGAAAGTAGCCATGAGGCTGTCCCTACTCCAGGGGTGGGAGGGAGGACAGCCCCTTGGGTGCTACACTGGAGTGACTGTCATGACCCTCTGGGGCCTGAGAAAACTGACCAGCCCTATTTGAGGCTGCTCTGCCCACTCCTGGACAGGGAGCTGAGGCTAGAGTCCCAGCCTGAAGGCAACTAGGCAGGGCCTGCCCCGCTGCTGTGTTCTCCAGCTGTGGCCAGCCGCTGATGCTCTGGGGACCTCATTTTCTCCTGTGTGAGTGATGCTGCTCCCACGGGGTTGTAAGCGCTTCAGTTAAAGGCCTTACTCCCAGAGGCAGATCTTCCTCGCCAATTCTCCCACTTCTGGTGGCCATAGTACCGCAGGGCCCCCACTACACTGGATTGTGTGGCCTAAGTGTAGCAGACAGGCCCTGTTGGTGTTGGTCCCAGTGCCAAGCTCTCTGGACACCCCAGCCCTGGCTTTCTCCAGCCCAGTCTGTCTCGTAGGCTTTGCACCGTTAGAGGGGATGGAGAATGCAGGCTCACTTTTCCAGCTCGCTACCTTGGCTTGTGCTATCCTGTTGCCTTTGCCTTGCCGCCCATCCCACCAGGTCTGTTCCCGTGGGACCATTCATAGGCACAGCTAGGGAGGTGGCTGTCAATGCTCAGCTTGGCAGGAGTTTGGAGTTTGCAGGCTGACCACCTCTCTTACCTGCATGTCCTCTGTGCTGAGTGATATGCTTTGGTCTGAGCTGACTCCCCTCACAGCTAAGGCAGTGTCCCTCTCAGCCCAGTTCATGGGTCAAATACTCTGGAAGGTTGAGGAACTGCTGGTGTTGCACAGGGGAACCAGTGACCAAACAATGCTGACTCCTAGCCCAAGGGTAGCAGAAGCTTTCCTTTAGGCCCCTCCGTTAATCTCCCCTATACTCCCAAGGTCCCTCCGTGGGCATTGCCACCCCATATGCAAATGGGCCGTGATGCCGATTGCCAGGCCCTTCCAACACTGGCTTCTGTGACTTTCCCAGGCTCGGGGGCAGGTGTGAATGGAAGGAGGAATGAATGAGGCTGTGCAGCCGCTCTGGGAGCTCATGTGTGTGGGAGGCTGGAGGTCTGGGCGTCGGGAAGCAGAGCGCAGTAAAGGGCATCCCCTGGAGAGGAAGGCAGGGAGAGCTGGGTCTTCTCCCTTCCGCCCCCTCAAGCAGAAGGCAGCCCCACCCAGGAAGGGCCTAAGGAGTCTGTCAGGAGAGGCGCAGGGCCCCTCCACTGAGACTTGGATTCCTGCTAATTTGCAATCTTAAAATGCACAGCAAAGGTTCCATCCTCATTGTTGGTACATTAATCAGGCAATCAGCGGGGCAGGGCTCCCAAGGGCCTCATGGAGGGGGCACAGAAGGTGCCATGGTGATGCAGTGTCTGCCTCCCTGGGATGAAATCTGCTGGATGACAATCCTAGGACAGCACCCTGCTGGTTCAGACAGGAGGTCAAGAAGGAGCCAGGGCTGGCTGGGACACTTAGTCCAAGGTCTTGAAGTAATACCACTGGCTTTCAAAGGCGTGGATGCAAATTTGGCTGAGCCCCTCAACATCTCCCTCCCATTAGAAGAGGTGGAGGTTCTGTAAAGCTACCCTTCCTGGCATGGGCCCTGGCATGTGGGAAAACGTTAAAGGACAGGGATTAGGATGCTTCCAGAAGAGCCAGCCCTTCACTGCTCAGGAAGTGACCGTCCCACAGAGTCCTTGTGGTCTCATGACTGCCTGCTCTTCTTTTAGGTCACGGGGAGCTGAGCCTGGTCCTGCATCAGGTCTTGGCTAGAGTCCTTTGTCCTCCTGTTGCCCTCCTTGAGGGGAAACCCCAATCCTGCCTTCACCCTGTCCTGCTATCTGCTTCTACCACAGTCCACTGTGGGTTCAGAAACTAGTTACCAAGCCCACACCTGAGATCTGGTGCGGTTTGATTTTTTTTTTTTTCCTAAATAGAGCCCTGGCCCAGTTTCCCCTGTGCACTGGTATTGCCTGGAGACCCCTACTTAAGGGTTACCCCGAGGACCCCCAAATTCTTCTGGGATACACAGATACAGAGCAGCCATAGCATGTGGAGAGCTCAGCCCAGGGCAGGTTGAGGGTGCAGGCAAAAGCACTCTGTAAACTCTGATGAGCTGTACAAATGTTGAATGGCATTAGTGCTAAGCCCACTGCGGCCCCTCCCTGCCTGCAGCTGCAGGCCCGGGAGGAAATGCTTTATTTTCACAGGACCCCCAGTGGAGGCTCTGCTCTGTCTCCTTCATTCTAAGACGTGAGACAAGCATTGTGAATGTCCTTGAACCTGGAGTCTGAGCTTTCTCAGAGCGACTGGGCTAGGGCTACTCCTTGGGGAAGGTTCTGGCAAGAATAGCTTTCCGGGAAGACCTGAGCAGGAGAGAGGGTGCAAGCCGAGCAAGGGGATTAGAGGAGGCCTGTGGGCAGAGCAGCCAGTGTGGCTTGGATGCTGATGCCACAGGGCAGGCTGCCCTCCAACCGGCTAGGGTTTGGAACCTCTCTCACCTTGCCTCCCACTGCAGCACAGGAGCTCTTGGACAGAGGGTGGTAGGCGGGGGGGGGGGGGCACCCCCAGGACGCCACGGAGGAAGACTGGCAAAGTAACGTCTCCTAGACATGCTTTGGAGAGGGAAATGGGGCAGGGGTGGCTATGGCCTGTGTGCTGCCTAGTGGCTGGGTGACAGAAAGCACCGCAGAGGACCTGCAGAGTGTGGCCCAGCCCGGAAAGGGTCCTATGCCATGCTGACACCGCCACAGAGGTCGTAATTGCTCTGAAAATGCAACTGAACCCAATTATGCAGAAACTAAATTATGTGCGATGATTTTTATGTGCCTGAAACATTCAGTTGAAGCCGGGTGATTACAGGGGGACGAGAAGCAGCTGCCACTCTCTGGGAACCCATAGCTCCCAACAGCTGGGAGCTGTCACTTACGATGCTCTTTCTGTAGGGATGGGGGGTGATTGGGATGGCATGAGTCAAGGTGGAGACCCGCTTGGCCAGGAACCTGGGCAGCCCTTTTGCTTGGGTTGGAGTGGGTCTGGGATCCCGGGTGGGCAGGTTGGTCAGGTGGGTGGCTTCTTCCATCCCACATGATCTGGGCACAGCTGGTAGCAAGAAGACTCAGCTCATATGCCCTGGGCGCCCTGCTTTCCCAAGAGTTCCAGCAGAACAAGCCAAGCAAGGCGGGGTAGGTCGTGGCTGCCTGTCCCTTCAGGGTGGGCGTCTGTAGGCCTGGAGCCTGTCCCCATCTTCTTGACGCGCCTGTTGGGCCACTTGGGGCAGCTGTGACCCTGGAAAAAGGCAGGTAATGACAATCGTCCATAATGAGGCTGCTTCAATAATGAGTGTGGGCCTATTACCCGACCACAGGCTGGACACATCCGAAAATAATTATTTTAAGGATCCATTAACGAATGCCTAATTAATGCCCAATTAGAGGGAAGCTACAAAGGAAATGCTCTGGACAGTCAAGTGGCAAGGCCTGGTCTCACAGCCGTAGCCTGGCAAACTCAAGCAGGGTAGAGAGATGCAGAGGGCCAGAAGGTGAATCGGAGGGGGGCAGCCTCGATCTGGCAGACCCCAGGGAAGCCGCATGGGTCAGCGGTGGTGTCACTCACAGTCCCTCGCAGAAACACGCCTTCTCTGTCCACCCGTTCAGCTCTGTGAACTGTATTAACAAATGAGGAAACTGAGGCACAGGGGCAGGGTTGTGTATTTGAAGTTTGGAATGCAACACGAACGAGGCATCTTCTGAGGTATGTTTTGTGCCATGAAGACAGCGCTTTACTTATTTTGAGGAATCATTTGAATAAAGTGATCGTTCAGGACTCCAGATGGGCTATTTGCTTTGTTATAGTCGTTACTCGTGAAGGCGGCTGACGGTGAGCAAGTGGCAGCGCCGGGACCAGAGCTGGAGGCTGCCATGCTGTGTTCGTGGATATGTTCCACCCAGCAGTAGGGCTAACGGCCTGGAGAGGGATTTGGATGGGGATTAGAGACTTTCAGGACAGAGCTCAAGTGGTGTGGAGATAATGTGGGCCTCGGGCCCAAATTTCCTGTCCAGTCTCCTAGCCTAGGCACCCCTGTGTACAGGACAGCAGACAGAACCTATGTGGGTCAAGAGGGTCATTCAGCAGTCCCCACTCCACCCTCCGTTCCCATGCATCTCCCTCTTCCCCGGGCAGCCCCTCAGCTCTTCTGTTTCTCTCCCCACCAGGGTGCTGTGTGGAGTTGCTGCTGCTCCTGCTGCTGGCTGAGGAGCTACCCCTGGGTGGTGGCTGTCCTCGAGACTGTGTGTGCTACCCCGCACCCATGACTGTCAGCTGCCAGGCACACAACTTTGCTGTCATCCCAGAGGGCATCCCAGAGGACAGCGAGCGCATCTTCCTGCAGAACAATCGTATCACTTTCCTCCAGCAGGGCCACTTCAGCCCCGCCATGGTCACCCTCTGGATCTATTCCAACAACATCACTTTCATCGCTCCCAACACCTTCGAGGGCTTTGTGCATCTGGAGGAGCTAGACCTTGGAGACAACCGGCAGCTGCGGACGCTGGCACCCGAGACCTTCCAGGGCCTGGTGAAGCTTCACGCCCTCTACCTCTATAAGTGTGGACTGAGCGCCCTGCCCGCAGGCATCTTTGGTGGTCTGCACAGCCTGCAGTACCTCTACTTGCAGGACAACCACATTGAATACCTCCAAGATGACATCTTTGTGGACCTGGTCAACCTCAGTCACTTGTTTCTCCATGGCAACAAGCTTTGGAGTCTGGGCCAAGGCATTTTCCGGGGTCTGGTGAACCTCGACCGGCTGTTGGTGCATGAGAACCAGCTACAATGGGTCCACCATAAGGCTTTCCATGACCTCCACAGGCTGACCACCCTCTTTCTCTTCAACAACAGCCTCACTGAGCTGCAAGGTGACTGTCTGGCCCCCCTGGTGGCCTTGGAGTTCCTTCGCCTCAATGGTAACGCCTGGGACTGTGGCTGCCGGGCGCGGTCCCTGTGGGAATGGCTGAGGCGGTTCCGAGGCTCCAGCTCCGCTGTTCCCTGTGCGACCCCCGAGCTGCGGCAAGGCCAGGATCTGAAGCTGCTGAGGGCTGAGGACTTCCGGAACTGCACAGGGCCAGCATCTCCACACCAGATCAAGTCACACACGCTCACCACCTCTGACAGGGCTGCCCGCAAGGAGCACCACCCATCCCATGGCGCCTCCAGGGACAAAGGCCACCCACATGGCCATCTGCCTGGCTCCAGGTCAGGTTACAAGAAGCCAGGCAAGAACTGTACCAGCCACAGGAACCGAAACCAGATCTCGAAGGTGGGCACTGGGAAACAGCTCCCTGAACTACAGGACTATGCCCCTGACTACCAGCACAAGTTCAGCTTTGATATCATGCCGACTACACGACCCAAGAAGAAGGGCAAGTGTCCCCGCAGGACCCCCATCCGTGCCCCCAGTGGGGTGCAGCAGGCTAACTTGGGCACTTCCCTGGGGGCCTCGCTCCTGGCCTGGATACTGGGGCTGGCGGTCACTCTCCGCTGAGGACTCAGGACATCACTGCCCAGCACTGCCACATGTCCAGCAAGGAACAGAATCTTTTCCTCTTGTTTATTTTTTTTTTTTTCCTTTTTAAGCGGAAGATCTGCTGGGTTTCAGGAAAAGGTTGCTAAAGCCTTCAATCACAGTCTGGACCCTTCCTGGTGGATTATAAGCTCAAAGTGTACAGCTCTAGAGAGGAGGGGTAGCCATCTTACCTGGTTGTCCTGGCCCAGCACCTACCTGGACAGCATCCACTCCAGCACGGTGGTCAAAGGCATACCCAGTGAATCATAGCCGTGACGGGACATATGCCCTGTGGAGAAGCTGGGCTCTGTGGAATCCTGATCACTTGGAAAGAAGGGCCAGAGGACCCTGTTGTTTTGGGAAGGAGTGGGACTCAGGACGAGGCTCCCGCAGAGCCAGCTGGGGCAACCAGCCATCTCAGAGCACTCTTGCTCTTGCCTGAGGCCACCTCGTCAACCTGCCCAGTCCCACGATGTCACCCTCAGTCCCTACCCATTGGGGTAGTGCCTCTCATTCCTGATGTCTCAGGCAGTCCTGGCAGACCTGCTGGGGTCCAAGAACCAATCACCAAAGGGAAGATCACCAGAGGATGACATGTAGAACTTTACTCGCAATGAGAGTCACACAGAAGGTGCAGTTTTATACCTGTGTCCACTTATATATACCCTCACACCCTGCCCACACACCCACACAATATAAATATATATACATATATAAATATATAAATGCACAGCCCCCCTCCCACTCCTTACCAAACTGTATGTCTTATCATGTTTATAAACTATACGGGAACCTATATTTGCTCAACTACAGATTGTATTGGTAATTTCTAGCAAGGAAAAACAAAAGAAAGCGGAGGCATTTTTGGTCCGAATCCCAGCTGGCAGCAATAGTCCCTGGGCTTGCTGGGGCAAAGGTGCCAGTGGGAAGAGTTGAGGAGGAAGAGAAACAGAGAATCACTTCAGGGGACCAACATTCTTAGCTACTTAGAACATCCCCTTGTTTTTATATGCAACACATGCCTGTCTGGCACCCTGGAGCACCCCCACTACCCCTCCTGTAGAAGCTGCAGGCTTTGGGGTGAGATGTGGGAAGTAGCTTGTTGGATATCAGGGTGCTGGAGGCAAGCTAGGTGGAGCAGCAGAAAGGGCTTTGGGGGTTTTCCAGCCAGCAAATAAGGCAGCATCCACAGTGTTAGCCCTGTGGGTTGGATGGACAGAGTCCTTCTAACGTTTTGCCAGCGATGGTCTGGGCAGGTCAGGAGGCTCTGAGCTCTGACCTCAAGGAAGGCTTAGCTGCAATTTTAACTCACTGGCTCTTTGGCCAGTGACCTGCTGAAGGCCCTGACTAGTTTGGCAATAGAGAAGACTCTAGTGGCCTTAGCAGATGAGGGCATTTCAGTAACCATCTCAGGCGCTCTTCATTACAGAGGTCTTGTTCCTCCTGTTTATTTTGGATATAATCCAGGACAGGCAGAGGTCAGAGGGCTAGACTCAGGGGTCAGAGCCCAACAGGCAGCATGCAGGGAACAGAGCAGGCAAGCCCGGTCAGGGAATAGGGGCTGCTGGCCCAAAGGTCTCGGGCAGGCACAATCTCTTGCGCTTTGCACAAACCTGAATCTCCTACCAGCGAGGGTGTGTGAGGAGTAAGAAATGCTGAATCCAATTATGAGAGAAAAATAATAAAAAAAATTCTCTTGGACAAGAACCCTGTTTTTCATTTCATAACCCCGCATTCCTGACAGGGTGGCAGATCCCGGGCTTTGGTGGGGTGGGCGAGCCTGGCCAGGCTTGACTCTGAGAAGACAGCATGCTTGTTGGCAGGGAGAGCCATAGGAACGGGGCACACTGACTCACAGGAACACACAAGAACATGTGCTCTCTCGCTCTCTCTCTCTCTCTCTTCCTCCCCCCATACACACGCGCGCGCACACACACACACACACACATGCGCACACGCACACACACCTCTTCCCTCACCAGCATAGAACACAATTCACAATTCACTTCCCACATGCTGGCTGCCCAGGTCAGTACCACTTCCGTATCTTTCCCCTGCGGAAGGGTTCTAGATCCTTCCGAGCTTGTTCCCAAGAGCCGTGGCTGCTGATTCTGGGTGTCAGCAGAAAGACAACAGGCAGTCCTTGGGCCTCAAGTCCAGGAACTGACCAGGACAGCAGAGGGCCAAGGCCTGGAAGCTGCCCCTGCCTTTCTGACATCACAGATGGAGAGCAGAGGGCTGTCTGTTTTTAGTATGAGAGTCAGGGCATTCACGAGGGGCCTCGTGCTGCAAAGCAAATAATGCCATTCTGCCACTGAGCCCGATAGTACCCAGGCCGATGCCCACGCCCCTTAAAATTCATGCAGGTTGTTATGGTGTTGATTTCATTCCCAACCCCAGGCAGCAAGGCCCTCAGTGGGAAAATCAAAAGTCTGAGCACTTTATTAAATTTTTAGGAAAAGACTTAGCAAGTCCTATAAGGTAGAAGCGATTGCCAGCCAGAAGAACGGTAAAGTCTCCTAAAGGCTCTGCCGATGTGTGCATAATTCCCATGGCCGAGGCCTTCCAGGCTGGGCAGTGGGGCCCAGGACACTGGGTGTATTTTTAGTAGTTTTCTCCCCCAGGAGGTAGAAGGAATGAAGGCCACTGCTGATGACATCATCTGTTACACAGCTGCTCAGACTCTGCGCAGTTAGAATGATGCCATTGTTCCCAAATCAAAACCAGTTGACTCTGGGAGTCAACTAAATTGGAGGCTCTCTCCAGGGAGTCAGGCCACTTCCCCCAGTAGCCATTCGGGGCAGGGTATTATAGAGTCCTGCTCCCCTAAAGGCTCAGTCACCCGCTCCTGTCCCTAGTAAGGAACAGAACACTTCCTCTGTCGTTTTTTTTTTTGTTTTTGTTTTTTTGTTTTTTTTGATCCTGCTGCCTCTGTCTCCCAAAGTACCCACTCTTGGCTTGATGGAATTTTTAAAAGAGTGTTTTCGGGGGCCTAAGGTGGCTTGTTACTTGATAAAGCCCTTGCTGTGCAAATATGAGGACCCGAGTCCCACCCAATCCGCAGAATCTATGTAAAAAGCTAAGCACAGTGCACTCCTGCAATCCGGCGCAGGGCAGGCAGGGCAGGAGGGGCCTTGGGACTTGCTATCCAGGAAACGCCTTACGTTCCAGGTTCAATGGCAGACCCTCTCTCAAAAAATAAGGTGGAGGGCCAGCAAGATGGTTCAGTAGATAAAGACACTCGCTGTGCAAGCTTGATGACCCGAGTTCCAGCCACAGAATCCACACGAAAGTGGCAGAATACTGAACCCGCAAAGACCTCCTCTGACTCTGGGTGCCACAGCACCCCACTCACACAGCACAGAACACACTAGTGGCGACAACAATAAATTTAAACGAAAATAAGGCAGAAAGGGACTGAGGGAGAAACCTCTGACCTATATTACAGCACATATACTACATCCGCACACATACACATGAACACATCCCTGACATTCCCCATACCCCCAAAGCTTTTGTACAAGTATATTTTGCATATTAAACATATTCACGACACACATGCATACGGACATGGACACACACATACACATGTGCCTTCCCCTTCCCTGCCCCTCCTGTCTCTCATTAGTCCCTTTGTCTTCTTAGACAACTTTCATCTTTAAAAAAATTATTTTATTTTTTCTTTATGTGCATTGGTGTTTTGCCTGCATGTATATCTGTATGAGGGTATCAGATCCCCTGGAACAAGAGTTACAGACAGTTGTGAACTGCCATGTGGGTGCTGGGAATTGAACTCAGGACCTCTGGAAGAGCAGCCAGTGCTCTTAACTGCTGAGCCATCTCTCCAGCCCCATATTTCATTTCGTACAAGCATCATCATCATCATCATTTATGCCCCAGCAATGCTTAAGCATCCCTGGGCAGCCCATTTATGGCGGTTCTCCAGTTGTTCCTATCCTGGGCAGTCCTAGATGCTTGTGTCATTGTCATACCCAAGGCCCCACAGTCTTTCTTGGTGCTGTCTATCAAGTGCTTTGGGGCCTTCCTCTTCATCTTATCCCGTGCACTCCTCCAAGGAGTGCTGTCTTCGGGCATCTGCTGTCATTCATTCTTCTAACATGACCGAAGTATCTCAAGCACCGTTGCCGTATCCTGTATCCTGTAGTTTACTTCCTTCTATAGAAGCTGTGGAGCTGGGGATGACCTTGAGCTTCTGGTCCTCCTGACTGGACCTCCTGAATTCTGGGAGTGCAATCATGAGCCTCCACGCCTGGATTATGGGATGCTGGGGCTCAAACCCAGCCCCTTGTACATGTTAGGCGAACATCCTGGCAACAGACGTGTCCCCACCCCTACTGCCGCTTTCACTCAGCACTTTTTGGGGAACCCCTGGAGAGATCATCTCTTTCCTTTATTTCACCTCCCCACAACAGCCCTCTATTCTACAGTGGCAGAGGATAGGGCCTGCCATGTGGGGACATGGGGTGGTCCCTGGCACCCTCAGACAAACTTCTTCCATGACCCAAGGGCTTGGCTGGCTCTTCATTATTCCTTCAGCACACAAATGGACCAGTCATTGTCTGTGCTTTGGGGACAGGAAGGTGAGAAGAGAGGCTCCCTAAGGAACTGGGAGGAGCGAGCATCCTCAGCTGCTACAGAATTGGAGCCCGTGTTAGCGTAGTCTTCCAAAACAAGGAGCTCAGCTGGGGTAGGGGAGTCAGAGAGGATGTCCTGGAGGAGATGATGTTGTAACAGTCTCTGAACAGAGAGGTATCCAGCGAAGAATGTGGGAGCCTGCCAGGCTGAGGGCTGGAGGCATACAGCAGCTCAGCCTTTGAGGTCTCTATAAACAGCTATGAGCTAAGGATGGAATGCTGTTTGCTGGGGTGCTGGGAGACTATTTAGGCAAGAGGGGGGTTCAGGGAGTCCCACCCAGGGACTCTGACTCTGTGGGAAGCAGAGGGAATCTGTGACTCTCCTGCCTGCTCTTCTCTGCTCCTGAGCCTCATCATAAGCACACGGGCTCCCATGGCACCCTTGCCACTGTACCTCAGCTGCGGATTTCATCATCACCACTTGCCTCCTGTGCTCAGCCAGATCCTTCCTTGTGCCAGCAAACTGGAGTGCTCACTGGAAATCTGCCTGGGCCACAGTCCCATTCCCAGACACCTGCTGCTTCCAAGCTCAGAATGTCTCCCCTATCACCGCTTAGAATCCACAGCCAGTGTTCCAGGCTTTCCCACCCTCATGGCGTGGCTCCTCCCTCAGCTGGCCAGACACCCCAGCTGCAGGGAGCCACAGGCAATCCCAGGACTCCCTCTTCTGAGCTCCATCCCTCTTGCTAGGCATGCCCATTACCAGAGAGCCAAGAACCCCACGTGGCAAATGTTACCAGTACCTAGAAAATCACCTGCCACTCCACAGGCAGTCAGGGCTCAGGAAGGCTTCTCTGTGGATCAGAACAGGCTCAAGAAATAAGTTTGCTGGACACTGAGTTGGGAACTCAGGAAATGTCCATTGGGTTAGCACCAAGCTTCAGTTCAGACCTCGCTATACTGTGAAGGACCTGGCTACTAAGGACCTAGTTTCTCTTCCCTGGTAGAAGAAGCCAGCCTTGCTTTTCTTGAAAACAAACAACAACAAAAGAAAAACCAACTTATTTTTTTTCTTCCTCCTTTTCCTTCTTTTTCTGATGTGTGATGTATGTTTTGCCCAAGACAAGGTGGGCACATGCCATGGCATATATGTGAAGGTCATAGAACAACTTGGGGGAGTTGGTTCTTTTTTTAATATTTA